ATTACTCACACACACACACACACACACACACACACACACACACACACACACACACACACACACACACTTCTCCCCCCACATAGCCTCCTTTCTCCTTTTGCACATGTATAGAACATGGGCCTGTTGTCTCCATGGTTACCACAGTACACAAATTTGGAAAGCCACTCTCCAAGCTGTAAGCCCTCTTCCTGAGGTCTCTTTCAGTGCCTGAGTAAAAATAATTTACACCTGTCTATATTTACTCAAAATGAGTGAGATAAGCCTAGGAATGTGTGTGTGGGTGAGACAGCATGCTAATGAGTGAGTCTCACACCCAGTGAGTGAGATTTGACATGTCTGTGCCAACCCAAGAAGATGGGAAGAAATAGAAGGTGAGCCCACAGTCCTGCCCCCTGCTCTGGACCAATAAGCAAAGCTGGCCACTCAATCAATAGAGTAGATGCTGCTCACCTCCTCTAAAGAGGAAGGCAATGGCTACACTTCCCCAGTTTTCAGGAGGCTTTGTCTCTCAAAGAAGCCCAATGCCACATGTTGCTTCTGCTGGCCCAGGGTGACTCTACACAGTCTCCCACAAAGGACTTTGCTTAATAGGCACAAGCTGACCTATTCTTTTAAAGCAAGTCCCAGCAATGCAAAGTCTTGTAATTCAGGGTGTTCAACAACTTACTTTCAAATGACAATTGATGCTTCTTTCCCCCCTGGACAACATATCCATTTGCAAACACTCCTAATTGATTGTCTTATAGATGGCGAGACCAGTTCAGAGAAAGTAAAATCCAGTTCAGATCTTCACCCATTCCTCAGTCAAATGAATTCTTCTCCCAATGAAGTAAAGGAGAATTTTGTCATTGACTTTAAGGATTATGACATTGCTATTGGATGTGCTGTATAACAGCTCCAGTTCAAGAAAAACAGCATTTCTTATACATTCTGTTTCCGGTACTTGTTCCAGATTTTACACTTATCTGCCTTGTCTTCCATAGTAACATGCATGCCTGGCTAGAATATGGCATCTCAAACTCTGTGGTTATACTTCTCAAAAGCCAGATAGGCATAGCGGGTTCTGTTTAGCATTTCTGGCCTCCTGCTGTGTGGCATTATGAATCAATGTTCTTTATACAGCCTCTCTCCATATGCAGTAATTTCACCTCGATAGTCCCTATAAAAGTTTATGCTTGGAACTGTCTGGGCTTTTCCCATTGGCTATCCATCTAGAATTACCCTCTCAAGCTTTTGTAAATTGGGGTCATTTTGTGTTTCTCATTTGTCAAATGTTCTTACAGAAATGAGTATTACTTAAGTCACATTTATTTCAAACTCCTCTTGCTGCTGCTCCTTGCTTTTAATACTTACAGGAGCTCCTGAAAGCTGTGCTGCTGTACAAAGCTCTTTCTCAGCTCTGTATTTCATATTTTCAAATGCACTTTTGCATTGTCGTGATCATTTTCTGCTATTTTACTTAGCTATGTTGACATTCCTATGAATCGCTGTAAGTCCTACTTCTTTTGGGGGGTCCTTACTCAGTTGTCTCCACCTTTCCTTCTCATTTGTCACTGAGAACTTGTCCTCTATAATTAATTTTGCTCAGCTTGATCTGGCATTTTTTCCTAATTTGATTAAAAGTTCTATAATTTGATTAAAAGTTCTATACTTTGGCAAAGATAAGACATCTACTTTGATTGGAAGCTTGAGGATTTTTGTGGTTGTTTTCTGCTTTAAAGGATATTCTCTAGTTCAAACAAATTAATTTGCTGAAGTTTTACTAACTACGTCACACAGGAGGTCAGCCTAGATTATCATAGTGGTTCCTTCTGGCCTTAAAATCAATGAATCTAAACTGCAGAATTTTATGCTGTCATCCCTTGTA